ATAGTCAAAGTTTTCAGTTTGAAAATGGAAACCACACATTGATGAGACGACAAGAAGTCTTTAATCAGGTTTACTTTTTATTTGGCCTGTTGGGTACTCGTGTAACTCGTTTATAGAGAGGAGCAACTACAACAGGTAGCTTCACTTTCTAACAATGATTGGTTGGCAACCTTCTCTTTCAGTTTCTTCCTCCGAGGAGTAATGAGCGCTTTTTCAAGTTGATAATTACGATGAAACAGCAGAAACAGGGGCAGAAACAGAAGCCGAGATTCGAGAATACAATGGCAACCACAGCTCATTTGGTTAGCCCCCAAGGGCCCCTGGCCAAGATGATTTGTCTTTTCTGGTCCGAAACTTCAGGGGCTTAGGTAAAACATTTGTTTACACATGAAAATACCAGTAGCCGATTTATACAATCAAACAAAGATCCGCGAGGGATCCAAAAGAAGGGCGGCTAGAATGAGTGATATTCTGGGAGCAGCGTGGGAAATGACTTATGTAACTGGTTGTAAGGTGTCCCCCAGAGTCTCAGAGTCTAAGGTGTTCTCAGAGTGATATTAAATACCATGAGCTGGTTGTAATTTCTAAGCTGATTTGGGGGAGACCCTTTGCAAATCAATCAAGGGCGCATAAAATCCCCTTGACACCTCAATTACAAATGCAAATGGTGGAACATTGGCATGGAAAATTGCTGAGGGAAAAGAAAAAGACTTACAGATATGCTTAGAAGTATAGGATCTTCAGTATTAGAAAATAAAATAGTGCTGAACTATAATTATATATCCAATGAATATCAAAAACTTGTCACCCGCATGCCATAAAAGTTTTAAAGAAATTTCCATAAATTCATAAATCACTTAATAAATGAAAACCCATTTTAGTAGCAATTATAAGTTGTTTCACAGTCATAATAAAATGAAATTGCCTGTTAATTAGCAATTATGAGGGCACACTTTATCGCTTGCCAACAGATTAATGTGGGGTTGAGCCCATAAGCTCCCCAGCGGATTGCTGGAAGCTCAACCCTCTCAGGCATTTGGCGAATCTGATGGAGCAACTGGAAACCACTGGCCAGGGAGTAATCCAACCACCATACCATACCATACCATACCATGGATCTCCAGACCCGTCGCCCGCACTTAGTCGCACCACACTCTTGCTTTCATGTCGACTAGCCATTATAATTATGGCGACGGGTCTGCCGTTTCTTTCGCTCTTTCTCCATCTCCTGGGCATTTTCCAGAGCTCTTTTCATTACATTTAATGCCACAAAGGAATTTGAAAAGCATAACAACAACAAAGGAATACTTCGCTGCTGACGTCGCACTGGTCGGCCAAGTAGAACTCATGGGATGTGCACTGAGAGAAATATATCTTTAAATGTATTTTTGAAAAATTTTGGAGAGTTAGTATGGTTTTACCCGTAATTGATAAGTTACTATTTTGAACCTCAGTATAAAAATGACCTTTATAACTCTTAACAATATTAAATACAACTTTATAACTCCTAACAATAATAAAAAAAACATTTTTTAAGAAGTAGTAATTTATAAAACATAAATTAAGAACTTAGCTTGTCATCTAAAATTCTTAAAGCTAATATTTATCTTAAATATATGTGTTTTATAAGAAAGTATTTACAAAAAAACCATTTTGATGGGCCATTTTAAATGTTGTAAATAGTTATACAATCAGTACAAACAGTCCTTAAAATGTATTGAACTAATATATGATCATATTCTAAAGAAATATTTAAGAAATCTAACATTTTTAATTTGGGGAATTATTAAAATTATTATCATAAATGTGTAGTGTTTTAAAATGTAATTTAATTTTATAATATTAGATGACTCTTTTCTCCCAGTGCACAAATAGTTGGGAGGTGGCTATGGCACTGGATGGATGCGGACGCGCTCGGTTGACTTTCATGGATCAGTTGGGGCGGGCTCGCAGCTCCACAACTCCAAAGCGGTAGCATATATCGCTGTTTGTTCTGGCATATACTACTATACTATACTATATAGTATACGATTTGTTGTTGTTGTTGTTGTTCCTGGTGCAGTCATTACCGGCATGACAAGCACAAAAATGCGTCGTCGTTCGTGCGCAGACGATGCCGCTGCCCGCAAAAAACTAAAGTTGCATTTAACTAGTCGAGGAATAGGGCTAGGCCTTAGTCCGGCCACTAGTTACTCCAACTATGCAAGAAGTGCCCATCGATTGATGGACTCGGAGTGAACTCGGTTGAACCCCCAGCTTGGACAACACGTGTCCAAGTCGGCGGTTAGACGGGAGCTGATTTCCATATCTATATCTGGCGGACGCACTTGGCTAGTTTGGATTGGAGATACGAGTACTTAGAACTAATCTTCCTCTTCTGAATGCAGCCAGGCGTTTCGCCCGAACAAGATCAAAGGGGCCAACGAAACGAGCCACTAATTTGATTTGTTTTAGAAAAAAGGGTTCGAAGTCAGCGCTACTGTTCTTGAGATAAGAATGAATGTCTAGAACAGATCTAGCGAAAGAAAGGTTGGGAATACATTGTTTATTTAAAGGAAACAATTAGATCTTAGGATTTTGCAACTATAATCATAATAAGTAATGCTTGGATTATACAAAGAATTAAAAACTGGTACTTATTTGCATAATAAAAAAGAATACTATTTTATTATCATATTTAACTTTCTTATATATTATCATACCAAAGTTCGAGCTATCTCTTTTGGTGTATAGGTACTTCTATAGCTTATCTTCCTATGTATATTTATGACATTTGGGCAATCATCTTCTCTGCTCAAAAGTAATGCCAAATCAAATAAACAATAATGTTCTAACCGCACATCAACTCTCAAAGCAATTACAATCCCCCAATAACCTGAAATCTAAGCCCAACTATATTTGGCAATCATCGCTATCGACAACATGGGCCGCACCCCGTCCCAGTTGAGAATGCCTCGACTCCGACAAGTGGTCAGGTTTCCAGTGCCGAAAGTTCCAGCGATTGTTGCCGGGCCAGTGAGCAGCTTTAATCTCGGATCTGGAAAACCCGAATGGCACACGAGTATAGAGTTTAAAATTTTGTAAATCTGGCTAGCTGTTAATCATAACCATGATACCCAAAAAAATAAATGACTGCAAAAAAATGTATGAAAAAATGCACAAACTGCTTTCGACTTCCGTTGGGCAACTCATCCTGTCTGTTTTTGAGTCTGGGCTCGGGATCCCCGATTCCGATCTCGGGTTTCGATCCTCTGAGGCTGGACAACCGCAAAGTGGAAACGGAAGTGTCGCCGTGCGGACAGGTAGAAGATGCCCTCAATTAATTGTGACCTTTAGGAGCCGTCGTCTGGCACAGAAACCCAAGTAATGCCACTGCAACAAACTAAAATCGAGTCTGCAACTAGTTGCAGTGCCACTTTTTGTCGCAGTTTGTGGATGGTGATCATTTAGCTGCAAAAAGCCAGCTATGAATGGTAAATGGCAGTGCGGGCCAATCTGCAATTACATGGCCAGCTGCCAGTTGTTTTGCACTCGAAAGGTGGTGAGGAGTATAAGGTATAAGGTATAAGGTATAAGGTATAAGGTAGTTGCACTCATCACGTATTGGGAGGTAGCATACATGGGCATACTTAAGGAGCATTAATGTGGTTTATCATTGGACAGCCATTGAGTTCGATACGGGCATGTTATGACAAGGATGAGATGTGGACAAAACTCCAGCCCAACTGGTTGGGAATCCTACGTTTCCATTCCCTCCAAGGGCATCACGGATCCAGTGATGCTCAGCTAGAAATCATTAGGCAGATCTATTGCAGCTTTGGAGATTATCAACAGGAAAGATTTGAAATTTTTTTAATATTTTTGATGAAGATACATTTTTAAAATCAACATTAAAGATATCTGATATAAGTTCTGAAGCCCTTCTTGTACCGCCACTTCCTCAAAGATTTCCATTTACTTATTTTTTCTGGAGTGTAATTCTCTGCAGATCATTAAGACGCCAGGCCAGAAAGAGATGGCCAAACAGGGGGAGAAAGAGACCGCAGCAAAGTGCACATCCGTAGAAGGACATCTGATCGCTTTTTGTCGTGGCATTACACAACCGCAAAGTATCCGGGGGGAGAAGTTTGGGGAGGTGCCCGAGGAAAATGAGGAGCAGTTTGGGGAGGGGGTTAAAAAGTAAAGAAGAGCTAAAGATGAAAGTGCAGACAAAGCACTGGCTGAGTCCCCAAGCCGAAAGTAGCGTTTTCCACTATTTCTTTTGTACTGGAAAAAATGCTTATTAAATAATGATCATACATAAAATTTGTTAAGGGATAAAGCTAATACAGTATCTAGTATTTTTATTTTGTAACCATTTTCCCTTGTTTTAGAGCATTATTAAAACCCTAATATACTTAAAAATGTATAGTCACAATGAGGGTTTTAACTTAACCTTACTATTATTAAAATCTGAAATATAGTATTATATCATTACATCAAAATAAACTTAATGAATTTCTATTAAGGCGTACTTCTTGTTGGATTCCACAATCCAATAAATCACTCTTTATTTATTTAACAAATTAAAGCTATATGATACTAATAATACTACTTGTAAAAGAAAGGGCTCTGGAAGCTAAAAAGTAACTCTATATAATGAGTACTACTATGACATTCAAAGAAATCTTTCTTTATAATAATGATAATGACTACTACTTTAACTTTAATAATTGGAACACAAGTATGTGTCATTATAAATCTCGTATTTTCCATCCTTTCTCCCAGTGTACTTGTGGCTTCCTGCAGCTTACGACGTGTGACGACATGTAGAACTAATTGTCGTCCACTCTGGCAAGGTAACCTCGCCCCGGAGGAGAAGGTGGAGGAACTGGGGGGCAGGTCCCGAGGACCAGGAGGGGAACAAGACTGGAACCGACTTGGCAGCAACTCTGGCTGCAATTGGCTGCACCGTTCGCCTTGTGACAGGCATAAATCAGTTTTGTTTCAGTAATCGGCGCAGCAAGAAGTCAGTGGATGTCGAAGTGGAAGCCACCTGTCCGCAGCTAAAAATCATGGTGATCTTGAGATTTTCGCGTGTGTTGCGTCATAATTGAAAATGATCGCGGTGTGAGACCTTAAAAGGAGCGATTCCCAATAGTGGCAGACACTCTGCTTTTTTTTTGTTTTGATATTTCAACGGCGACAACTTTGCCAACGAGTTAATTAAAGTTCGGGTCGTGTGCTCGGGGAATCGAATTGTTTTGCTGATTTATGTTGGATCGCTGGACAGCCATTCCTTGGCCAAAAAAGGCGCAGCAGCAGCAGCGCTAGACAATAACAAATAAACCAAAAATTAGCAACATTTAGTTAATGCACATAAATAAGATACGACGAGCTATTCGATATTGCGAGACTCCAAATTGGGCAAGTCGTTCGTGTGCCCCAAGATTCCAATTCAAAGATCTCAAGATCCCAAGATCCGTGTGGGCAGAAGTCTCAGTCTAACAAACAAAAAGAAAATAAATGACGAGTTTAAATAACACTAACAATCGGCTTTGCTGAGGCTTTGTTGGTTAATGAGCTGGACCCATATTTGGCCGGATCGAAGTCGTCTCAAGATGCCCGCCCCTCCGAGCACAGTGAAGCCTGCCTCTGGTCACACGACCAAGCTCACCCATGGCAAATCCAGCAACAGTAGTAACACCTTGTGCAACTCCATCGCCCATCTGAGCGACTCAAGGACCAATCTGACTGTCAACACGCCCACAACTTGCCAGCGATTAAGGTATGACACTTTTGCAGCTCTTCGTTTCTGATATTGGAACTAGTTTATCGGGCCTAGACCCCAAAAAAATGCCCTCTGTTTTGATTGTAGTGTTCGGTACCATCTATAGAGTTTGGCTAATTGTGTGTCTGCTAATAAATGAAATTTGTCAATCTTAGTTATGGCAGAATGGATTTTTTAATTAGTGTGCTTAAGTGATAACTGAAAGTGGGGATTTCATAAAGCTTATCTAAAGATATTATGTCATTACTTTAAAACTAAGCTTAGAGGGAAGATGCATAAGTTCAATGTTTAGAAATCCTACAATTCTTATAAGACTTATTCTTCGACGTTTCAATTTAAAGTCAGACCATCTGTTGAAACATCTTATATCCAAAATGAAAAATGTACCCCTTGAAATTAATTAGTGACGGAAAGGATGGTACATAATTTACTTATCATTTGTTACACCAAATTAAAAATGCACAAAATGGTTTAATCTTTAATTGTCTTGTATTCACAGCGAAATGTTTCGGCGTTCGATTGCCAGCAGCACCCAGTCCAGTTCCAGGGAAAATACCTACGAGGAGGTAAGATGTATATACATATGAATATACCACAGATGATCCTTAGATAAGCCATTACAAAATTTCCATTAAAATTGTAAATGTAGATCAGGAAAATTATTAATGAAGTGTTGCGCGTGAAATGTCTTGAGAACTTGAGGGGAAAATTCAAATCAACCCCAGAAATGGAAAACCGATCATTCTTACCTGCTCTTTTGTTGAATGCCCATCACAATCGGACTAATTAATCAAACAAAATGCCAAGACGAACAAAATTTCAAGAAAGGGGAGAGAATTCCTGCGAAGTTTCCGTTACCCCTAGGAAAACCTCTCGAGTTTCCAGGCGTTCCGAGTTGATTTGCTTTTCATAATAATAATCTTTTAGCAAGCCCATCAAAGGAAAATAATTTATAAACATTTTAGGGCAGCTCAAAGGCGACTGCCTACTGTGTATCTGTATCTTACGCTTATGCATCGCTATGTATCTATAAGTGCGCGGTGTGTAATCCGAGATACTTTTGGGAAGGGGGGTCTTCGCCCAGGAGCAGTCGATCGATTTATAAACAGGCCGACGCGCTCAAGTGTGCCAGCTGCCGCTCGGATTCTTTATATCTTCGAGATACACAAAACATACCTTTCCTATTGCTAAGAAGCTGCGAGGACTGCCAGGACCAACGCATCGAATCCTTAAAGACGGCAGGCATTGACCTGCTTCGGAATGCAAAGCAAAAACATCTGTCGCCCTCAAAAGGGATCGTCTTCGAGGCAGATAATATACTATATATATATTTATGAGTCTCGTCCGGGTGTCCTTTTTCGTGTTGTTACAGGCGTCGTCCTCGATTTGGCGCGCTCAAGAAAGATCAGGTCGATGCTTGATGGAGCTGCATTCCATACAGGTTTATCGGGTACCTCTGCCCACAGGATCGAAAACATCTGCCTGGGCCATAAGCGGGTCCTTTCGTTAGCCCGTCCAATAATTGAAAGTAATTTCCCTGCACTCCAATGATGGCGGCAAGGTGATAAGCCAGTTTAGTCGCCGGCATCCTGCAAGGATTGCTCACAGTTTCCGGTTGAGGGGCAATCTTTATAGCAGTCTTAGTTCCGCAGGATAAGAATCTTATCTAAAATCAAGAGGGTTTAGTCCATTCGTGGGTTTTTCTTTAAAGATTAAGATCAGGTTTGATTTTAAACATTTTATAAACACATTGTAGTTAATCCTGAAATATTAAAAAAAAAAGTCAACTCTTCCTTTGAAATTCCTTAAAGTCGGCAATTAACGGGGACGTCTTCTACCATTTTTAATGACCTTTTAAATAAGTACCCCCTTTTTATTAGACATGTGTTCTTAAACTCCCCATTACATAATAAAAGTGTCAGGCCAGAAGGTATTGTCCACACGTTATTCGAAACCAAACGACCGCAAACTCTGGGCTATCCATGGATACCCAAGTATGAAAATGTATCTGCCAGATGCGACTGCCATGGATACGTAGATACAACGCGTGTAAAACGCATAAAATAGCAAATTACCGAGCTCCACTGCATGTCATATGACGGTTTCAAAGCTTCAGCTTTGATTCGATTTCATTTGAAACTGGGAAACCGCAATGGCAGGCGGACTTGGAATCGGAGACGCAGTTAAGATGCAGATACAAATGCAGATGAAGATGGAGGCGATCGCAGCTCAAGTTGAGCGTGTGGCAGGCAGACGACGATCTCTAATGGGCAATGGCATCATAATCATCATCATTGACATGCGGTCTCATGTTGCATTTATGTAGCTGTGGCCACTGATAGATGGAAGTTAGTGAACCCCAACCCAGGCCATGTTGCACCCCGAAAAACCCTCGTTAATCTATGGAAAGTGCAAGTGAGTGCACTCTAGTCAAACATTTCTCTATGTGCCTAATCACAAATCAAATATTTTTCTACGCCTCGAGGGTTTTATGGCCTTTGCTGCGCTGCGGTTCATCGTCTTTGGATTCGGATCGGAATGGGACTGATTGGGTGCCCTCAAATATTTGACAAGACCCAGTGCATTCGCCTTCTGTGTGGGACTCAAAGTATCTGGCTGACTTTGGCCGGATTGATAGCCTCTAATCAGTTGCTCTGTTTGTCGTCGAATGGGTATCATAAATTACACTACTTTGCATTCTTCTTCAAGTGCTCTAAAAAGGGGTGACGAACCTGCTTGAAATGTTTTTAAATTCGATGGTTAATTGTTTGATTTATGGCTGGGAAGTGGAAAATTTTAAAACTGATTTATGTGAAATTTTTAATTTTATGTATTATAATCAAAATTATGACACTACCAATACACAATCGAAAAGTTTTAGTGTAACTTTAAGGTTCTATGTGCAGTTTTTAAGATTCTTATGCTTGATATTACTCCGATTTTATATTCTTTTCGTAACTTTACCAATACAGCGATATCGAATGTAAATACTTCTAGTTCTTTAAAGTTTTCCGACATGATCCCACGGATTTTCCACCCTTTTCCCTGCCAGATTTCCCCACTTGGCTAGACCAAATAAGTGTCACCTTCAATAACTGTAGAGCTGTTTCAATTGAGGAGATATCACAAGTCAAACATGCGATGGCTGCATGGACTTGGGTCATGTGCCTTTCATTACTGTCTTCGAAGGGGTATCTATAGGGTTTTTAGGAGATCCGCCCCCCGACCTCATTGAAATGCAAACAGTTACGATACTCCCCTGCCAACTCCCCACCGATCCCCCGATCCTCCACTGATCTGTTCATGTTATTATTAAAAACACCTAAATGGGTCGCCAAGAAGTGGGCACTGCGAACTGGGGATGGGTCGTGTGTCCGTGTGCTTTGTAGTGCAGCACGTACAATAAATTAGTGACATTATAAAAAAATTAAAACGTGAGCTCCTCTAGCCGAACATATTTTGACAATAATAAGCAGCTTTGTGCGCTGCCTTCTTGTTTCTTTTTTCTATATACCTTACATATACCATTTTTTCGAGAGCCGCAAATTCACAACGCAAACAACGTGACATGGGGATCGAGATGGGTTAGGGTTTCTTCGGGTTTCTTTTGGGGGGGCCTGTGAATTCGTTTTGTTTGCCTCTGCTTCATGCGTTTTTATGTTTTATAGGCCTTCTCATTAGCATGCCCATCACGAGAAGCTTATAATTTTGAACTCTTCTTTTTTTGGAGTGGAGCCGCTAGGACAAGGCACAATTGTCAATAAAATTGCTGAACCGCCTGACAGCACGCACTCGCAGCACTTTGAGACATTTTACGGCGGCTCAGAAATCCGTATCTTAGCCCCAAACAATTAACGAAATAAAAAGGCCGCTCGGCTGAGATCCCACGCTTTTTTTTTGTCGAGGGACGGAAAATGTACAGCATTTAAATAATTTTTCGATGCCAGCCCACACAGTCACCGCAAGCTGATTATTTGTATACATTTTATTGTTTCAAATTTATATGCGAAAAATGCATATATGTGAACCGAGATTCATTCACAAAATGTTGGCGCATCTTTAAGTAACTTAGTTATCATAATCGTATACACAGCGGAAATAAAATAGACACAAAATGCTAGATACACGAAATCTACCTGAATCTTGGAATTCCTAGCCCGCGAACTGGTGAATGAACTGGAAGAATATCTCTTTATCTTTGTTTAACCTGGGGTTTCTCTAAGCCATTAGCAGCTTTTTAGCCGGAATTATTTCGTCGCACTTGACTTTATCTTTGCCCAGCATGTTTGGGAATGGAAAGTCCTGGGATCCGAACATGTTTTGCACACATTTCGGGCAAATCCTGTGTGGCCTTTGACCTGCAGGTGGTCGTCCTTAAATGGATTCAAATGAAGGGTGCCGAAAATCAAAGAAAATGGCAAACCCAGCTCAAAAAATTTTATGACCCACAGTTAAGTCCATTAGAACTGATTGATTTATCAGCTAGATAAGTTATGAATAGATTATTTTACCAACAAAAGAGAGATTATATTTGAAAATAAGATGTCAAGGTTTTAACATTTTTAATATGTTTTCTAAATTTACAAAGTTGTAAAAAGAGTAGAAACCGAAAATAAAAATATATATACAACAACATAGTTGTAGGCCTTATTTTCGATCCCTGATAAACAGAACTAACTATTTTGTTTACCATAGATAATATAGTAGATAGCCATAATCTGATTACCCACTAGATAAAACAACTTTCTATTATGGCTTTCCTCTATTTTCAAGCAAAAGAGACAACAAAATTTCCAGCATTTTCTCATTAGTTTTTTTTTATGCGGCACAATGGAAGTTGGCCCAAGTTGCGACTGTCTCCTCCACTGATGATAATTAAATCAACGTTGCATGACACAACTTAATCAAAACTGAGCCAAGCTGAAAGTGAATTCGGTTGGCAAAAAAAGATACACAGATACGAAGGCCATAAATGAGGTCAACGAACACGGTCCAAGTTGTCAACCGGTACTGTAGGCAGAACCCATTAATGTTTCTTTGGGGCTTTGAATAGTTTCCCCAAAAAAACAATCCAAAGAAAACAAAGACTAAGCTTTGTATATTTTTTTCTCTGCTGCTTTTATCAGCCCATTTACGTGCCAAATCAGCGGGTGAAAGTGTTGCAAAATGAGCGAAACGAACTAGCGAAATTGCTCTGAGGTGAAAATTGTTTTTCCTCGCTCCACAAGGAAGGAAAATGTGTTCGGTACGAAAAAAAATTGCACCCAGAGCAGACGCCTCCAGTTGGTTTTCGGAATTTTCCCACACTTTGCAGGTGGACGTGTCTGAACTTTGATTAAACAGCCCGCGTTTCCACAGAGTTTTTCACTGAGTTTTTCCACCAATCTGTAGCCGGGTAATAAATGTGTAACATTCTGTAATAGCTGCTGTGTGTGGTAGCTTGAAAACCGATCTCTGAGTCATGCTCGATTAGTCAGAAGAACACAATTTTTGGACAAGTGAACGGCCTGCCTTTGAGTCACTCACTGTTCAACTGCAAGACTTTTCCATATCCATTTTCATTTCATTTTTCCTGCGCTGCCGCGGGAAAAACTTAGCGTGTTCGCATTTAATGAGTGTCACTTTTATCGATCGCGGCGGTGGCACCTGTTTCCGTTGCATAATTTCGTTGTCCAGACACCAGAAACACACACGAGTTTTCCTTCCACATTAGTTTGTTCCTTGGGTTACCAAAATATTTACACATTTCTGGGAGTAAACGAGGCACAGGCGCTAGTTCTAATGAAGTTGCGAGGGAGTGTGGCAGGTGTCTGCTGAGGTATCTTACAGACCATTTGTAACCCGATAGAGCCAGTTTACAGTCTAATGAGAGATCAGTAGATACAACAAATAACTTAGCTGCTAATGAGTAAAAAGAAGTAGAAAACGACCTGGAAAATGTGCATAGTAAGTGCCTTAATTGGGTTAAAAATATAGCTATGGCTACCTAAGAAATATATGAATAGGTTATCCTGTTAAGATACATATAAATACTTTCATTTGCGTTAAATATATAGCTCTGGCTAGCTAAAAAATATTTGAATAGGTTATCCTGTTAAGATACATAAATTTAAAGTTAAGTCAAGCCTAGGAACGGGAAGGGTTATTGGTATCATAATTTTGTTTTACCTTTAAAATTTAAACAATTAAGGATCTTATACAATTTATCACTAAAATTATATATTATATACATTCCTGAAATTAGAGGTACATTAGGTTTTTACGAACTGATGTAAATTACCCTATCAGCACTCTTCTCAAACAAAACGTATCACTTCAAAGACCCCTTGACTAATAGAAACACAATTGCTTGGCCCATAAATCTGGCTACCATATCTCAAAATCTTTCCCAGAAATGCATTTCGAGTACATCAGAGAGAGTAGACCTCGTGATTTTCGTTATTTTTTGCACTGCTAACCATCCGCAACTAATGCGGCTGCAGGAAAGATACACGGGACCTGGATCCGAAGGATCGTTCCAAGACGGAAGGCCCGGCGTGTGCGGTTGGCCAGGCTGTTTATTGTTGGGAAGTCATAAAAGATCATAAATAAATAGCTGAGCAGGGAAGATTTACATTTGCCGGGGACTGTCGAGGGTCGGTCACACTTTAATTGCCGCAGATAAAGCGAGTCTAAGCGGATCTCTTGGGCTGGGAAACGTACACACAGAGTGTGGTCCATTCGGGCCCAGTGATTCATGCTGAACCATCTCGTTCCCTCTCATTTCTGGTCCAATATCGCCGTCTCACTGTGGGTAATTGATACCCGAGGTGTTGATTTGTAAAACAAAAAACTGTTTGCTTATAAACAAAAGGCCTTGTTATGTGCACGAGTAGCAGAGGCAGAGGCAGTAGGAAAAACAACTGAATTTTCGGGAATTTAGATAAGAAGCGAAAATGTTTTCATCCGAAACTGGGAACAGATAAAGATAGGTCACACCCATTGGCGGTCCGAGATACCAAGCCCCCCACCCAAAATGCAAATCAATGAACCATTAGCTTTGGGAAAACGTGTAGAATTTAGTGTTCCCCCTTTAAGCCTCTGATGTGGGTCTCCACATCTTTGGGTGAGTGACAGCCTGATTGTGGGCCTTCAGTAACATACTACCAATCTTTCTCTTGATAAGGCAAACTGACTTATCAGCGAGGGGCCTCAAATATTTGAGCTGCATGTTATGATTTCTTGTACAAACCCTGAATGTTTATGCAAGATTAATGGTCAGGCGCACGCCTTCCTTCCTCCTAAAAAACTCCTCATCCCCTGCCTAAAGTTAAGTTCGTATACAAATTACATCACCTCCTGATCTTGAACTATTAATTAGGCAAATTTCGTTTTGATTTGTGGGCTGGCTAAGCAGCGGATGTTACTAAGTGGAGATTAAAACTGAGATCTTAAGATGGGAATGTCTGGGAGTGGGAAACAGCTTTGTTTTGTGGGTAAATATACAAGTAATGCAAATAATAAATATATATTAGATCGAGTTCTTAAAAAGCTAATCAACAAATTTTAAAATATAAAATATGGGAGCTTATGTTTATGAACATATTTTATAGTTTTCGATAGAATGAAAAATATAATTAGTTACACGAAAAAGTATGAAAGAAAAATAAGGCGAACCCTATGTTTGTTTATACTTATAAACAGAAAACCGAACTGTTTCTTTTTTTTGAAAACAAAGTTCCATTTTATGTGGTAATAATATCCGTTCCTTGACAATGATATTATGTACCTTATAAGATATATACACAAAATGAAATCTAGCTAAGTGAAAATAAAGAAATTTATATCTATACAAAATGTAAAAAACTGGATACAATAGAACACAAATTCCTTTGGCTACGTGGCACATTTGTCCGGAAATCTGCACACAGCAACTGACATATTGTCAAACATCGGCCATGGAGGATCCTTTTGCTACGATCCTGATCCTCTTTTGTGCGACACCTTTTGGAAAACTGTCAATAAGCGAGGGCATTGTTCGATCCCAGCCAAATGCAGCTGCCTTTCGCCATCGAACTGCGAATCATTTCCTCGGCCCGAGAACAAAGCCAGGCAACAGGATCCGGCAGCAAGGACATGTGGCAGCCAGAGGACAGCTTATTGGCCAGGCAGAGAAATCAGAAATCGAACCAGAGCATCTGCATCTGTCATGGCCGACATGTGCCGGCAAGATGCGAATGATTTTTGGCGGTAAAATGGAATTAACACAGGATTTTCGGTACCGAAATGATCGAAAAAGGGCAGGACAATACTTATTATTTTAGAACCCAGTTATTTGGCGAACCGCAAATTCCACTTAATTTGAAAAACCGTTATTCTGAGGAATTTTAATCTTTTCTACGAATGGGGAGAAGCTCACAGAAAAAAATGTACACAACTTTCTTAACTAATACCTACAATACTTTCAATTGAAAAATATTTATTCCCTTTATAAAATATGTTTTCATGTACGTACTAATCTTCACCATTCCAATATAAAGAACATATGTTGAAAACAAATATGGTTTAGGTAATATTGTCAGGAATACTTAGTACTAAGTAAGGCTTACAATCTTACTGAAAATCTGCTCATCCTAAAAACCAATGAACAACAATTATTTCTATGACATATTTTTTTTATCCGTATCATTGATCACCAAGATCGCCAGGATATCAATCATATTTTGGATAAAAAATATATGTTCTAGGTAAAATTGTTTTCAAATCGTAAGTAAAATTAAGAAAGGCTTACAGTCTACTCAAGATCTGGTCACCCTGAGGAAACTTTCAGCTGGAACCGAAGCCAAAGCTGAATGAACTCATTTCCCATTGCTCATGATGGCTCAGCTTCTAAGCGGCTTTCTGTCTTTCTGGCCATTAACAGAGCGAAGAGAGAGCCAGGTCTTCGCTCTTTCTCCGCTCGGCTCTCTCCTCTGGGCCAGAAAAAGAAGCAGCAACATGAACGGCAGCAACTTTTCTTGGTTTTATGGCTCTTTTTTTCGGCAACATGCTCAGTCAACCTTGGCAAGGCCGTTGTTGCCGGTTTTTATGCTGCCTGTGTGCGTGTGAGTGAGTATCTGTGAGTGGGCCCCTGTGGCTGTGTGTTTTTGCGTGGGTTTTCTTTGATATGTGGCCAACGGAAGTCGGGAATGGGTCATAATCGACATCCCTACTCCTCTGGCCCCTCAATTCCTCCATCCCCTCTACCATTTTTTTCACTCCTGGCCGACAGATGTGGTGGCCCTTTGGATAATTGCACTTGGCAATGGCTTGTTGGCATCATTAGAGCCGCGTTTGGGTAAATATAGCAATTACAGTATCCGCAGCATGTCCTGATGCCAAATTGAGCGGAAAGCCCATAGAAAATGGAAAATGACAAAGGAAATCGAGCGCAGAAATTATCAGTTTGGGATATTGAGGGTTAGACTTGGTCCGAGGAAATGGGTGGGAAAATGCTGCAACTATTAACTGGGAAAACGTTTACTTTTTAAAAAATGAATAAATGGTAATTATGTTTTACTTCACTTTTGTTTTTTAAAGTTTAGAAATGCTTACAAACATTACAAATATTGAAATTCCTAGACATTCAAATTAACTAAAATTGGATACCCCCATCGACTTGGCTTTAATGATCTTTTTAAATATTGCACATGCAGTTCCAAAGAGAGTTTCATCATTATACCCAATGAACCAATATGTGGCCCTTTTCAACCACCGCACAGTGGTATTGATAGCCAACGAAAATTAAACATATTTATTAATTATTGGTTATAATAATATTAGTAATAAACATTTTGTATTGATAAAATTCGATACCAATTTAAATTAAACTATACTTTCCTCCCTACTGTTTAGGAATTATAATAAATTTTTAATAAATATAAATTCTTATAAAATAAACGATAGGTGATTAAATATTAATGAAAAGTACTTATTAGTTAAAATGCTTAGCAATTGAACAAGCTAAGAAAATTTTAATTGGAAAATTATTTGCAAATATAACGTAGCCGCCAAGTAGGTTTTGTTAGAATGTACCTTATCTGACTTAGTAGTAATATTAGCTAGAATTATGCAATATACATAAAATTGAGCTTCAAAATGTGAGAAATTACCTCGGATAGTTTACCATTATTATCAGATATTTTCTAAACCAATACAGTTCTACCAATGCCCAAAATATATATTCATAAAATACAAGTTTTAATTGTATCAATAATATTGTACTGTATTGTATCATGCTTAGCAACTGAAAAGGTTTAAAAAAGAATTTTAAAATGAAGACCATTTGGTATATTATGTATCCGCCAAGAAAGTTTCGTTAATAGTAGAAAATCATTATTGGGTAGAAAATGCAATGCCCCTTTAACTTACTTCAGATAGTTTTAGGCATTGTCAGATATTTCCGACTTCAAAACAAGAAAGTGCTACCAATGCCCACTGTGCAACCCGTTGAACAACACTCTCTCTCTCTCTCTCTATTTGGTCACAACACTCTCCCCAAAATGCAATATCCCTCTCACTCTAAAGTGCATTACCAGAGCAGATCACCGCCTTTTGTCTCGCTTGCACAACCCCTACGCCACATCCGTGAGCATAAGAGTGAGCCTGTGTGCGTGAGAGAGCGGGATTTTGAGTTTCAGAGCGGCTTGGACGTATCTGCCTTCACTGCGTCACTTCAATCGCTTTCGAGAAGTCGACGCAAACGGTTCGTATTCGTGAAGTTCGCATCTGTATCTGAAAAAAACACAAGATAAACGATGCGCGTGCGCCGTGTGAATTTCGCAAAGTTTTGAAATAGTCAAGATCTGTGTGATGTGCTTATAAACTGTGCAATTACTGAAATAGAAAATCAAGACAAGACTCTCTAAATAACTTGCCCATTGAAACACTTTTGGATTAGTTTCACGACAAGCAAATTGAAAAACAAACCAAACACAAACAATATGGTTCGAAGTTTGGCCCAGTGGACGAAGACGCTGAGCTTCCCCTCGCGTCTCTCGCCAAATCGCAACTCCAAAGATTGCTCCACTTTGGCCGGTCCAGTACCGCCACCCACTCCGCCCAGGAATAAGACAACCTCGGGCAGTGGCAACTGCGCCACATCGCGCTCCTCATCGTCGACAGTGTCCTCTTCGCACTCGTCTTCCCACAGTTCACCCACTCCCGGGAACAACAACAACAACATGCCCATCACGGAACTGGAACAGATTGTAAGTTTACCAAAAAAGATATTGGGGTTCCGTAGAACTATAGGGGGTAAAAGCTCGGGGTGCATCTTATCATCCTTCAAAGAAAATTTTTTGCTAATGCTGAAAATTTCATATCTTTGGTAGATTGATTTCCTAACAATATATAAGAACCTTTTTAACATAGTAAAATAAAAACAGTAAGGCTAAGTTATTAGTGTTTAAAATGGAAACCATCAGATAATTCTAAATATTTTTCAGTGAGTAGTTACACTCATCTACCAATCTTCTTCTATAAAAAGGCCCTTCAATGTATTTTTTACCACAGTAAAATATGATTAAGTAGAACGAGGTTATCACAGAGGTGAGAGGAAAGCAGCGGCGGGGATCGTATCCGTATCCGTACCCCTGGTGATGGGACTTCCTGTTTTGGCGAGCCAGCTGTGCAAACATTTAACAACCAAAGCCCGCATATAATTTCCATAGCCATAAATGCCTTGCCAAGTCCCCAACACGAGTGCATTCCATTCCATGCCAGATAAAGCTCATTGACCCAATTGAATGGGGCCCTAGACCAGAGACCAGATACTACGGCTTAGCCGGCTCTTATCATTATCAATCAATCAGTTTCGTAAAACAAATAGCCATATGTAGAGCGTGGGGACGTCAACTGATAGCGGATTTCCACACCCGATAAGCGAGCTAACAACTATCGAATATATTTATGGGTTTTCCGCACCGCATCGAGTGCAATTAAGCCCCCGCCGTTTTGATGGCCAAGTTGAGAGCAATTTGCCAGAGCTGGGCGACAGATTGCCGGGGCTCAGATCAAACACATGGCAGGAATAGGAGTACAAAAAAAAACGAAAGAAATGGAAATAAAAATCCGAAAAGCAAACAGGATGTAGATGCGCTTGAACTGTTGAGGATGGGAATGTTTTAATGCATGTAGACAGGCCGATCTTGGGCGACAACATATGGGCACAACGTGGCCCGATTCCCAGACATGGAAAGAAGAGCCGGATCGAATGGGGAAAAAAGGTTTATTGAGGGGGATAAACAAACGGCGATTTTGAGAAAAAGGATTTACCTAGAAGTGGAAAAGCCATCGTAATAATAATTTTTGGGCTGTACAATCGATTCATATAACAAATCCATTCAAAAGTTATGAACCTGAACCATAATTAAGTTGTATTTTGTTATAAAAGGTGACTAGAATTAAAATTCACTTGTTGTGTACCCTCCAAAGTTAGTTTTTCCCACCGACTAAGACCATTTCAATGCGGATTCGAGTGGGCATTGCAATCAGAATTCCCGTAGTTCGATTTCGCTGGCATTTTTTCGCAATCCGCTTTTGACATTCTCTCTGGTCAGTGGATTCCGCAGACGAGAGCTGCATTCATTTGCAGACCCAGACCCACTGCCAGCCACACCCACGCGGCACGACCAGGTTTTACAAAAAAATTAAAAAAAAAAATAAATAAAAACCATTAATAAAAAAAGAAAAACCAAGACTACCGCACGAGCATGCCACAGTTTTCATCGGCGGCAGGGAAATGGAAAATCGTGACCAGCGGCTACGAGGCGCCGGCGACGCATCCGCGGAAAATGCCAAAGTTGAAGAGCACTTAAGATACGGGAGTCCAATGCAACCGTTAGGCGATGGAAAACTATGGGCTTATGTAAGGCAGCTTCGCATTTTTGCCATTTGGCGAAAAAAGAAAAACAGAAACAAATCAGCAGCACAAACAAAAACAAGTTTCTTGTTTTGGTTTTGGTCTTAGACCAGCGAATCGCTCGGAAAAGTTGCCCAACGGCTTTTCAGCTGCTGCTGCTGCTGTGGTGCAAAGTACAAACATCCTTGGCCAAAGGTAAACCAGTTAACCAGTTCCAGTTGTGCTCCAACTGAGCCGACGGGGGCGTCTGCCCTGTTTCCTATTCCTTTCCCCTGGGACTGGCATTCCTGGAATTTCGCAATTACCAGGCAGAGCCGTTAAGTGGCGGGATGGGATGGGAGCTTCCGTCTGGGAGAATGTTTCCCACCAATCCGGATTTGATTCGCTCTAATCCCGTTGCATTTCCCACTCTGGGAAGTGGATTATCTTATGGTCAGCAGATTAGTCTAACTATATCAAGTATTCATACTTTAAATATAATACCAAATATAATAAGAACTGATTTTATATTATATCATGTTTTTATTATATTTATAATATCTAAACATAATACAAAATGTTTTGTATATGTTTTATAACATAAACAACAATGATCTTGAAAAAGTATATCACTTAACAAGTTCTTATCAAGTAGAAATTGAATACCTTTTTTTTCTGCCAGCCTGTAGAACGTGCTGAACCTTTATTTTCACAAACATTTCGCTTTCGATTAGCAATCAATTAACATATTGTTGGTAATGACACATTTCGCTCTGGCTTTTGGCTTTGGCTGAGTCAACGGATTTCTCCCATTCTCTGACTTTTAAAGACCTTGTCAATGCGAAATATTCATGCTAATGACAGCAAGAATTTTGGAAAGAGTCTGATGAACCCAAGCAAAAAACCCCGATTGTTAACTGCATTTCCTGTCGCATTTCCAGACAGGCAGCTGCTAACCAGACCAAAATAAAGGTCATGCCAGAGCCACAAAATGTGGCAGCTGCAGCAAAGTTCACCTGCCTGCAACACTGCAGAAGTTTGGCAACAATGTAAAGGGGCCTCTAATATATATTTAACAGAAACTAGAACATCTGATCAGTGGGGATCACAAGTCATAATTTAACCATTTCTTAAGGCGAACGCATGCAAATTCATCACCGTGATTAACGGAGGCAAAAAGCAGCATTTAACATGGGTTTTTCTGGGGTATATTGCGGTATTGCAGGTGCAGAGGGAGCGACAGAGCAACATGGTGTTTTTACCTGTTTAGAAATCAGCTGCTCTGCTCCGCTTTGTCCCCTCTTTTTCTCAGGTGAAACCAGTTTCTGGCTTTGGCCATGTTTTGTTTTCATTTTTTTTTGTCGTCGCTGTGTTTTTTGTTTTGTATTTTGCAGCTGTCTGGGCTCAACCATCGCATCCATCCATTGTGAGTTTGCTGCTGGTGGCTATTGCTGAAATTACATACTGGCTGGTTATTTTTTTTGTGAAATTGATAAAACTGCGCATCAGCTGTTTTATCGGTTTCCTTTATTGCTCGCCCGTTTCGCTAACAAATTCGCCATCGATGCACTTTTAAATCCGGCATCGATGCACTTTATTAGGTCACCAAAGCAACAAACTCATATAACCACATAACTTTGCCAACCTGTGTGGAACTGTGGGAAGTTCTAACCTTAGGCAAACACCCCAAAAAAAAAACTGATCTAATTAGTGTTCCAGCTGTGGGTAAATATAAAAAACATTTAGCACAGTTTTCATAGAGCTTATAATGTTGATACCACAATATCCATATGAATGCTGAGAATTTCTTGGGCAAACACAGGCCGGCTGGTCTCCAAATATAAAAAGCTAATGCCAATGCTCACGTACCAAATAAAAAGCATGCCAGGGGCGTTTTTGTAGGGGGGGTATATACATACATATATGCCGCAGACCCATGCCAAGTTCCCCCTCCATACGATCCCTTTGTGCATTACACAAATGAACGTCAACATATTTTGGTTGGGAATATTTTGTGTTAACTGAACAAACGGAAGTTCTCCCAGCGGGAATGGTATATAATATAGGGTAGGGGGTTCACCAATAATGGAAGGTGCTAAGTCCCCATGCCCCAGAATTTGATGATCTTTTGGTTAGCAGGCAGAGAGATCGTGCTCTGGCAGAACAGTAGAACATTCTGAGAAGATAATGCCCGTATTCAGATTGGTTTCTTAATGTTTTGTTTGTCATTTGCTTATCATAAATATGAAATAATCAAGAGTTCCAGCTAATCAACTTGTCTAACGTCTATTGTATTTATGTGGGAACATGTAATAATATTTTTTCTAGCCTTTACTATGTTATTATTTAGGGGCAGTTCTTAAATAGACCGAATCCGATCCCGCATAACTTCGAAACTCATTTGGATAATCACACAAACAAATCAAAGAAATCCCAACGGACTGCAACCCTTTAAATTAAAGTGCCTACCAATCAATTTGTCTATTAATAAAGCCCCAAGAGTAACAGATCTTCGAGAAACATGCCCGAGCCCAAAGTTTGGGCCGCCCCAAACTTTCAACAGAAGCATAAACAATGGGTTGTTGTCTGATTGAAGCCAGGCCATATCATAAAATAAAAACAAACTACTTCGTCTATGAGCGCCTTGAACTTTAAGGCAATGGGATGGGATGGGGAAAATTCCAAGTAGGAGGCACATGTCTTACAGGGAATCGAATGAATTCGATGTCTAAAATTATAAATTTGTTTTCCTGCCTATTCCTAACTTCATTTTTATGATATGCCATGGAGATGGGGAAGTTGCCACTCCAGGAGACTCCAGGTTGCGTTCCGTAAAAATAAAACAAAATGCGCCAACTGCTGTTGCTCATAAATAATGCGTTTGGTGTTTCCACTTTCATTGGCCCGAACATTGATTTGGTTTGGAGTTGTTTTGTCTGTCCGTCTGTTTTTTGATTCATTTTTATGTTATTTTTTAATTACCGAAGCCTGAAATTTGGCCACGCTTTCGTGTCTGAATTGGAATTTCAATTGGCTTTGTCTGCGCGGCTTTACATAAGAACCAATCAAACTGAATGACTCTGACTCTGGGTAGTGGCACAACAATATTCTTTATTTTTTGGCATTAGGAAAAAAGCAAAAGTTACCCAGAGTTGGCTTAATTATATAATCATCCAACGAAATCGAGAAAACGACCTCCATATCTCTATCTTTGTGTGGTCCCCCCGATGTGGAAGTCAAAGTAAATTAACCTTAGCAGAGCGGCAAGTAGTTGCCACTAAAAAAAAAGCATTCCCCGGGCTCCACAACCTCTTTAGTTTTATTTTTGCCCCTCCTCCATTTGGACCATAATTGTTTGGTTTCCCCGTAAACATTTGGAGCCGGTTGACAAACAGTTGGACGGGGCCAGCTTTTGATCTCTGATCTCCTCTCGGATGCTGCTGCATGTTCTTCATTAAACCATCCATCCAATCCACTACATGATACGAAATTTGTGTAAACATTTACCATTTGTTTACGGCACCTCCGATTGAGTGGCAGTTACTTCCTGAACAAACTCCAACTCGTGTGTCTGTGATTTGACTCTTTGACTCTTTGCATCTTCGATCCAAGTCCAATTGCCATTGCCTAATTGGTCCACGGCCCCATCGAGAGTTCAACTGGAGTTCATCACATTTTTTAAGTGACATAAAAATAGCAGAGCGAGCAGAGCAGACCGAAGAAAATGAGCACAAAACTCGTTTTCACGTTAAATGAAATTACCAGCAAAAGGCGATTCCATAGAAATAATATTTTATTTTTTTTCCACTACGCCCATTCGGCGGAGGGCACATGGGATCCCATGTGTTAATTGCTTATTATATCTTCGTTTTTTTATGTCGCCTCTACGAGTCTGTCTCGGGGACCAGAACCAGATGCAGCGACATGTTCATTTATCAAAAGTCAAGCCACGCTCTTCCAAAGCCCCCGACGACAAACTGCAGATAAGGTCAATTAAAAGAGTCAACCGGAAATGTCGCGACGCTCGGTTAGGAGCAACAGATCCCGTACAACATCTCTCTTTTTCCCCCCTATTCGTCTTCTATAATATTTTTAATAGTTTGTCAAATATCATCAGATCGAACAATTATCATATTCAAATGTGGGGGTGGCTGGGAATTTGAAATGGGGGCGTCTTAATTAGATTAGACCATCGCCAAGAGTCGTACGTACATAAATATTTTCGCACAACAACGCAATTTATTATTTTAATCTACCGGATGTGAAGTCGCACTCCTCTCGCAGTCCCCAGCAATTAAAAGCATAAAGCAAAAGTGCATAGGGAAAAAAAACTGGGGAGCACAGAACCAGAAGCGGGTGCAGTTCTTATAAACCCGAAGTACTAGTATACGATTATACGTTAGTAAGGGGGCAGAAGGCAGTCAAGCGATGGCTGGAGAAGTTGGGAGAGTGCCCAAAAAGAACGTTAGAAGGTAGGACAGGAAGTGCTTGTCTGGGCACTGGGTGTGCCTAGGAACATGAGCAGTCATGTGTGAAGTAGTAGAACCCGAACCCTCCAGGGAAATGCAGCGAAAAGGTGCTGGGCAGGTAGCTGAAAAATCAATATCTGCGATGGACTGGATAAACAACAGGTCGAGGGGATCGGGCGATAAGAAGTGCCATCTCCTGCCTATCAGGCTGGGAAATCAAATCTCAAAAACACCTTTATAAGGAAGGGGGGATCTCAGGGCACTCATTAGTTTCACTGCAACTTCCGCACTTGAAAAGTCAGCTCAAACTCTATGCGTTTCTGGAAACTTTTTGGCAAACCAAGAGGATCTGTGAACTCAGAAAAGGTAAACGGGGAATAAGAAAATAAATATTTGTAAATAATAAAAATATATAAAACAATTTTAAGATTGTTCTTAAAACTCCTTAACGATCTTAACTAATAAACTATTTTCTTTTCTTACTACTTACAGATCTATCCCGGTCCTGATCCCAAACACATCATGGGCTCCCTGGTCTTCTGCATTCACCACAAACAGGGCTGCAAGTGGTCCGATGAGCTGCGAAAGCTGAAGGGTCATCTCAACGCCTGCAAGCACGATGCCACCCAGTGTCCCAACAAGTGCGGAGCCCAGATCCCACGGATCATGATGACCGATCACCTGCAGTACACCTGCACGATGCGGAGAACCCGTTGTGAGTTCTGCCAGAGCGAATTCTCCGGCGCCGGACTGGAGGAGCACAACGGCAGCTGTGGCCAGGAGCCGGTTTACTGCGAGGCCAAGTGCGGCCAGAGGATCCTACGCGGCCGGATGACCCTTCACAAGTCTAAGGACTGCGCCAAGCGACTCCGACGCTGTGCCCACTGCCAGCGGGAGTTCTCGGCGGACACACTGCCGCTGCATGCGGCCCAGTGCCCCAGGGCTCCGTTGGCCTGCCCCCAGAGATGCGATGCGGGTCCGATTGCCAGGGGTGAGCTGGAGGCTCATTTGCGGGATGAGTGCCAGTCGCTGGCCGTCTCCTGCAGCTTCAAGGAGGCGGGCTGCCGCTTCAAGGGTCCCCGCCAAATGCTGGAGGCGCACTTGGAGAGCAACGCCGCCGCCCACCTCTCGCTGATGGTGGCGCTCAGCTCCCGCCAGGGTCAGCAGATCCAGATGCTCAAGTCGGCGGTGTCCAAGTTGTCGATCAACTACACCGGCACTTTGCTGTGGAAGATCACCGACTGGTCGGCCAAGATGACGGAGGCGAGGGGCAAGGACGGTCTGGAGCTGGTCTCGCCGCCCTTCTACACCTCCCAGTATGGCTACAAGCTGCAGGCCTCGATGTTCCTCAATGGCAATGGTCCCGGCGAGAATACCCACGTGTCCGTTTACATAAAGGTCCTGCCCGGAGAGTACGATGCCCTGCTGAAGTGGCCCTTCTCGCACTCCATCACCTTCACGCTGTTCGAACAGGGCGCCCAAAGTGGCCAGGGAGGTGTGGCGGAGTCCTTTGTGCCGGATCCCACCTGGGAGAACTTCCAGCGTCCCTCGAACGAGCCCGATCAGCTTGGATTCGGCTTCCCGCGCTTCATCTCCCACGAACTGCTGCACAGCCGACCCTTCATCAAGAGCGATACCGTGTTCCTGCGCGTCAAGGTGGATCCCAGCAAGATAGTGGCCGTCTAGGGAGCAATCATTAGTATCATTAAACATTTACTCGACTTGTGTAAATACTGTGTATTTAAATTTATGAGTAAATCCCCTAGCCTAGCGTAGTCTAGCCTCTTCAGTCCCAGCGGCAGCTTCGGGCGATGTTGGCCGGGAGGAGCTAACTGGCCTTGGAATGCCGACCGCTGGGCCACTGCGTCATAGTCATACTCGTTTCGTTTAGGTTTTTGCAGTGCTGGAATTAAACCAAAGCATACTTACGCATAGAAATACATTTAGCGATAACATCCAATTCATCCATAAATGTACGCCTAAGTTTGTGTCTTAAGTCTTTTGTTTAGAGATTTGTATTATTGCGCGCGATGCGATCACTTTCAAAAGATCTTCAAACTAGACCGTACGCTCAAAATCAGTTAGACCATAAGTTGCATGTACATAGCGTTAAATTCGGAGCAGCCGCAGCAACCGCAAACCTAGTTCTAGTTGTAGCACCTAGTTAGTCGCCTAAGCCAACGCATTAGTCATTAGTACCATGAACACGAACATAAACATGAGAATCCAACTTTCAACATAGTCAAATAAGTTTATGCTTAAAAGCTACAAAGTCAAACATACAATAAAATGAAATAATTATTATGCAAATTGTACTTTTGAGTGTTTATTTGGTTGTGGGATTAACAATATTTATAGCAATCATAATGGACCAGTTACGACTCTTTTGTTTTGTTTAACGAATTGAGCTATATTGAGCTGCTGCTCATCTCCATCGGCGGGCTCCACACACTCGTTGTAGTCTATATTACGAATGCGACATTTCCGTTTTCCATCTACTCTTATTTTGTGAGTCCGCGTGTGTTCCTTAAGACGTTTTTTCGTAATAAAGGACAACGGGCAATCGTCACACCGGTATGGAGATTTCTTCTTGTGGTCCACGTTGTGCATTTTTAGACCATGTTCACTGTGGAAAGCCTTTGTGCAAAGCTTACATTTAAAGCTATATTTTCCCTTATGAGTCGCCCAATGCGTTTTGAGATGGTCTTTATTTCGAAATGACTGTGGGCATTGGGAGAACTGGAATGCTTCGCCCGGCTCCTTGCTCCGGAATAATCTTGTGCATTCTTGCGCGAAGATATGTTCCTTAAGGGTTGTCCTGTTTTCAAAGACACGCTGGCACTTTATGCATTTGTTCGGCTCCATCGACCTGTGACTACTCATGATGTGATAATTCAGATAAAACTGTCCTTGAAAAAACTTGCGGCACTTGGGGCACCTAATAGGTTTGAATTCACAATTGTGGTTTTGAAGTTTCCCTTCATGGGGGAATGACACTTGGCAGAGGGAGCATTTCAACTTTGGCGGTTCCTTGTGGGTCTCGATGTGATCTTTGAAAAGCAAGTAGTTGGAGAATATCTCGGGGCAGTCAGGGCATTTGTACGTTGGTTCCGCAAAAGGTTTTTTCGGTTCATCGTCATGTGTCCGGATGTGATCTCGCAGAGCCCTGTCGTCTAGCGACTTCTCTGGACAGTAAGGGCACTTGTACACTGTTTCCACCGCAAGTTTTTTGGCATCATTCCTATCCTTATGTGTCCGCATGTGAACTTGAAAAAAGCTGTCGTATAGAAATATTTTCGGACAGTATGGGCACTTGAAAGGTGGTCCTTGTCCATCAGCCGGCCTATGCATCAGCATGTGAGCTTCAAGATTGCCTTGCTTAAAGTATATCTTAGGACATTTTGGGCACTTAAGCCTTGGTGCTTCCGCGACAACTGGCTCATTATGCGACCGAATGTGAGCTTCAAAATTGGCTGCGTGTAAGAATATCTTTGGACAATGAGGGCATCTGTGCGGTGTTTCCTTCGTGAGATCTTTGTCACCATGAGCCTCATGATCCCGGACGTGAGATGTCAGAGAAGTGAAGTCCGTGAAAGCCATAGGACAATGATAGCAATGAAATTTGTATGCCCCTGCGCTGGGTTTTTGGGTTTGTCCTTTAAAAGATAGATCAGTACCATGGACATCTTCGAAGGGGTCTTCTTCAACAGGCTCGTTTTTTACATGGATTAAGTCTTCCTCGATGATTTCTTCTTTTAGTTGGCCGTGTATCTGTTGATCCCTTTCGTTAGTTTGTATAGTCTCGTATGCATTTTTCACAAACTCTAAGCAAGTTGGACAAATGGTTTCAGGAAATGTGTTCCCTTTTTCGACCCGCAATTCGACGGAGTGCGAAACCATAGTGGCAATTGAAATTCCAGATTCCAGTGTATCATCAAATATATTGATCATATGCTCGTACTTCCCCTGGCAAACCAGGCATGTTTCCATCGCCGGTTCTTCCAGGCATTCCGTTATGATGAAGTACTCTCCCTGCGTGGGTTCCTCGTCGAGGATCTCTTCCTTAATTTTGGTAGACCCTTCAATGATCTTTTCCTCAACTTTGGGATCCTCCTCATGGATATTTTCCTCGGTAGCGGGATCCTCTTCAAGAACTTCTTCCTTTATTATGGTGTTGTCCTCGACGATCTCTTTCTCAACTGGGGGGACATCTTCTTCAACTATGGGTTCCTCCTCTTTAATGGTGACATCTTCTCCAGCTTGAGCATGGGACTCGTGGGCTGTGCCAAATGTGTCCAAGTGCAGGCACAGCAGACAAATGGTTTTCGGAAGTGATCCTCCACGTTTAACCGACAGCCCTCGTCTTTGCTTGCAGTATATACACAGATTATCCATCGCCCTGGAATCCAATAACCAAAAATAAACCAAAATAATTGTAGAAACAAAAAATATTTCTTACCAGCAATTTGTTTACCATTTCCAGGGCTAAGCAACAGTATTTTTTAATTGCATGTACCACCCTGTGCCCAACACTGCAGTTCGAGCTATCGAACTGTTATCGATCTACAGAAATAACTTTAAAATATATAAACAGGGTTTTTTATTTTATATAATAGGTGTATGAATATTACAAATATGTTTTTAATATTATAGTATTGATATCAAGATTTCGTCTTGATGCATTTCTATGATCCTTGACCAGAATGGGTCAGAACATGGCGCCTAAGAACTGATGAATATGGAAAGAACTTCGAGCAATGGGAACACGGATGCGGTAGCTTTTCCGTGTGATTTCGAATATGTGAACGCAGAAAAGTCTTTGGGCAGTGATCACATTTGAACGGTTTTTCTCGATCGTGAATCAAGATGTGCCGCCGTAAAGCTGATGCATATGGAAAGGACTTTGTGCAAAGGAAGCACTTGATAGCTCTTTCCTTAGCGTGAGTTCGATTGTGAGCTTGATAGTGGGTTCCCCGCAAGAAAGACTTGGGACAATATAGGCACTTATAAGGTAGTCCTCCCGTTTGAGAGTGGATGTGCAATTGAAGAGCAGATTCCTTTCTGAATTTCTGCGGGCAGTGAGGACACTTATACGGCTTATTACTCTCTTCTTCACAAATATCCTCCTCCTGTTCCACGTAATCGTCTTGGTACTGAATGTTCGTATCCTCAACACTTAACGAGTCTTTATTATCGAGTAATTCGTCTTCAATTCGTTCGTTCTTCGTTTCCTCGTCACTATTTGATTTCTCACAGTGACAGTTTGTAATTTTGTAGACTGCTTCTTGTAACTGATATTCCTCAGTGATCTCTTGCTTTATTTCACAGTCTGATACTTCTTTTTCTGAAATATCCTCCTCGGCGACCTCATTCTTAACTTTGGCATATAACTGGTGGAGTTCCATGCTGCTAAAATGGAATAAGTTATAGAAAGTAATCAAACAATAAAGACGTTCTCACCTGTGTTTTGTTTGTTTACAATTGCCAAGACACTCGATTAAGCAAGTGCACTAGCCACCTTGTGACCTATTGCTATCGAAATATTATCGATTTTTGTATTGATACTTTTTGCCGCGAATATTAAAAATGTTTAATCAATGCAAGTCAATCCAGTTATTCGTTTTCGTTAAACACAGGGGCTAATATTTAATTAATATGTTTTAAATACGTGGATGGATTGCAAATAATACAAAACTACAGAACTAAATGTGTCATTTGTCACTACAAACCTAATTACACCGTTTAAACCGAATAGGCTCAATAAATTAAGCAAATAAGCATTAACCAATATTGTCAAACTAAAACGAGCTCAATGGAATGATTTTTCAGCACAGATAGATATATATCGCTTAGGGGAAGCGCTTCTTCAGTAGGCTCTCCAGTTTCCGGATGCCCGTCTGCGAGCTGCCATCGGCGTTCTTGTCGGCGCTTCCGGTGAAGCTGCCCACGCTAAAGATAAAGGCACGCTTGGGTGTGGAAGAAGACGCCGTTGTCGCCGTGGTCGTACTGGAATCAGTTGCTCCTATCGAGGGTTCGGCATCGTCAGTGGTTCCAGCGGTTGGGGCTGCAGGTTCTGTGCCTTGGGTGTCTTCGTCTCCAACAGTTGCCTCTATTAATCCACTTACTGCCGCTGCCGACGCCGTGTGCTTAAAAAGATCAATAAGTTGCAGCTGATCTACCCGCTTGACGGCCTTCATGTCCAGAATCTTTTGGTACTCCGCAATGGTAATGTCGGGCAGCAGTTTAAGTACTTGCTGGGTAAAGTGCGCTGGTGGTTGGACTGGCGTCATTACCACCTTGATGATCATCTCGGCCCGTGTCATGTCCTTGACCACTACTTTAGTGTAGCTGGTGGGAGCCTTGCGGTTTACACTCGATCCCACCGAAGGTAGTTCCAGAAGAGCCGTCTTCAGTGAATGGGTGTCCAGCAGGAGCTGCTCGCAGCCCAGCACATTATTGGATCCATCCGAAAGGGTAAGCTTGCAGCGGTACAGCACGTTGATGAACTTCGGTATAAAAGCGGCCACGAAGCGGTGACAGAACTGCGTGAAGTACTTGCGCGAGCTGGCCAGTGTGTCCCTAATGGTGGGCACTGTCTGCTTGAAGTTGCCGCAGAGGCTGCTGATAAAGGCGCTCTGGTCGCCCACATTGTTGATGTGCTGCCACTGCACCTTGGCCATCGCCTGAAGCGAAGCTTCGCAGCCAGCCTCCAGATCTTGGACCAGAAGCTGTATACAGTTGGATATAATGCTGTCAGGGTAGAAGAATGAAATGTTATTAAGCATAGACTCCATTATAATGAACATTGTTTAACTCACCGGTGAAAGACGTCCTTCTCCTCGCTCATATCAATCTTGCTTACATAGGCAGAAGTCACCTTTTCCTTCAGTTTATCCTCCAGTTGTTGGACAGTCTCCAGACAGTACTCACCGGTGGTCAGAACGCAGCAAATGCGGACGAGGTCATCCCTTGAAAATCGCTGCGTGTCTCCCTCCTTGAGAAAGTTGTGGAACACCTGGCCAGCGGCAGTAGACAAATTCTGCATGTCGCGCGTCAACAACGAGACGCTCTTTCCGATGGAGCTCCCCGTAGTGGCTGGGACGAGCTTTGGTGTACTGCCTTCGAGCACTTTGGAAGCGTACTCCCGTAGATATTTCTTGAACACCAGGGCGAGGTCATACATCGGCTGCTCGTTGCTCAGTTGGTTGCACTGCACCATGCACTTCTTGTAAAAGACGAAAAGATCCCCGGAGCTGGGGTACACGGTCGTCTTAGCCTCGGCAAACTTGTACGGCTCCCGAGACATCTCTACGAATTTCTCCATCAGCTCCGAGAGATTCCGGTCGATGCTGCGTATGTAGATGTCCAAGTGCGGCTTGAAGCATTGCCCGATTTGATCGTGGAAGACGGTCGCGCCCACAAGTGCGTCCGTGGCCGATGGCTCAGTGAGCACCCTTGCTTGCTCCGTCGGCTTGGCTCCCAGTGTGACACCCGTGAAGCGTTTCGAGAGGAGCTGTTCGAATGCCTGCGTCTTATTGATGGCGAACAAAAGTAGTCTAACATCGATCTCGTTGGTGCGCTTGGACATAATCTGTGCCAGCTGCTCACGTGTCTGCCGGCAAAACTCCACTGTAATGCGCTCGGAGACTTCCCAGTCCAGCGGAAAAACCGGGCCATACTTGTCCTCGAAGTCCAGCAGATGCCGCTTAAGCCAGGCATACCGCTTGTCGATCTTGTCCAGCCAGGCAATATCCTGATTCTCGTGGAACAGGTGCGTGTACTCCTCCAGCTGTTGGGCAATAAACCACTTGAGCAGCTCCTTCTTAACTTTGGGATCCAGCACGGACATCACCTTGCAGGCGTCGGCCAGCTGATTGAGTCCCAAACGGTGTTGGTTTTGTGCCGAAGGCTTGGCGGCAAACGCCTCCTTAAAATCCTCAGTGATTTGCTGCGCCAGTGTTACCTGGATTTTGTCCACGCTTTGCGAGAGATTCTGAAATTAAATGCAGTTATTTTAGGAATAGATTTTGGTTTACAATCAAAAGCCACCTTGATTTCCTCAATGTCGGAGAACTGCTGAAAGTGCTGGTTAACCTCGGTGATGGCCTGCAGGGGATTGAGGATTTCGCCATAGGATCGCCGCTCGATCAACTTGTTCAGGCTTTCGATTCCGCCCACCAGCATGTGCAGGTGGTTCAAGGTGGTGATTGCAGCGGTGAGATTGCGCTTGGCGCAGTCTAACTGCTTGATATCCCGGGTTATCTCCTTGACCATCTCCTCGGTGCGCTCCGCCCGGGTCTTCACGTCGATGATGTGGCTAAAGAGGGAGCTGATAACCTTCTGGGCCTCGCACAGTGCCAGCTGGCCATCTTGGCCAGTGTTCGTCTGACCACGAACCACGGATCGGATGTTGTCGTCAATCAGCGACACTTCGCACTGCATCTTCTGGATGGTCTCGTCGATCCCCGCCAGCGACTGCTCGTTGGGGAACAGCTGGTTGATGTAGTCCACTGTGTTGAAGTCCGGCGCATCCATGGGATCCTCCGTTTTGAGGACCTTTTAAGGGGATTTTTATTGGGTTGTTTTACATATGTTACACTGACTCACCTTGTCGATGACCTGCTTCACTTCCTTGGTGAAGTGAATCTTGTTATTGGCCACCATACGCTCCTCAGCCTCTACACCAACCGCAGCCTCGCTCATCGCTAGTAATTCTTATTAATTTATATTATTATAAAAAGTTGTTATTTTTCTTTCGTGGAACAACCAGGGATGGAGTGCAATTAACTGATAGCAGAAACTGTTATTGTGCTGCTAAGCGCAGTCCTGTTAGATAACTGCATATCGATAATGAAAGTTATCGAAATTCAAATTGCCTTATCAAATTAAAGAATTCCTTTTATTCTTTATAATCTTAGTTTAATAGTTTGAGCTTTTCTGTAAGCTTGGATACATAATTTAAGAAGTTTAAAATGGTTTTATTTCTGCGAGGAAACAAAAACCACCAATAATTTCCTTAGACTAACTCTATTTACTCGAACCAGCTCTACAATGACACACAATCACTGGGAGAACAGGGAGTTGCTGTTGGGTCCCGAACTGGATCCCGCCATCGAGGCACTCAGCATGGAGGTGTCCCTCTGGGAGGCGGTGGCCGTGCGCTGGTATCGAGCAATGTGGTCCAGGGAATAGGGTAGGATGGGCCGCACACTGTGGATCTCCAGCAGAGTCAGGTTGTCCAGCTTCGCGTAGGTGCCTTCTCCCTTGATAAAGGCATCGATTGAGGTGCGCAGCTTGGACTCGCGTATGTCGAAGATGTCCTTAATCACAGTGCGCAGCTCCTCGCAACGCGGGACGTCATCTGGCGCCGTGCTCATGACCAACTGGGCCACGACCATGTAATGCTCGCAAGGCATCTTGGTGAAGAATCTACAGGTGACAGGAAGTTAAAATGTGCTCACGCAGGGCAATTCCTAAGCATACATACTTGGATCGCTTCTCTTCCTCCTTGATTTCCTCCAATATATCCATATCCATCCATTCTGGCGGCACAATTCGGCACTTTTGTTGCTTGCGCAGATGCGTGGCCATCCACAGCGGCACAAAGACGGGAAAACCCGCCCGGAAGGGACCCACAGAACCATAAATAAGATGCAGGGGTTCGTTGGAAAAGTTCGGTATAATGCTGATCATGCACTTTTCGCCAATAAACTCAATAATAGAAGGATCCATAATGGCTGTAAACAAATAGTAAACAAATGCGGGAATATACGGTCACACTAAGGGATAGAGCTGACACCGGCCTACTATCGATCTTTAGCTATCACCAATTAGCTATTTGAGCAGTCTGGCAGCCTGGCCGCCTTATCGACCGTTAAAACGGGTTTGTTTTCTAAACAAATTGCTTGCATCACGAAACATTTTCTCCTGCGTCAGTTTAATCACGTCAAACTATAGACGTCTGCGGCTTAATAGCCACATCCCGCAACTATAAATATTCCAACCGTAATACAGCGACCTTCGGCCGGGTTATCTCACTATCACCAGATCGGATCGCATCGCATTGCTGCACCGGTGCAACTTATGGATCAGCGGAGCTGACTAATTTGTGCTCCCGATGCGAAAATGTTATTGCAGATTCCGGCTAAAGCAACGACAACTATCAAGAATCACGTAAAACGCCAGACGGGCATCGTGATAAGCCCATGAATGCCAAACATGATCAAGCGTTCAAGTTCAGCCAAGTTTTCCATTTTATAATATATATATTAGCTGGCCAGGCGTAATCCCTTGCACCACTCCGATGTAAATCCGATACTAAAATGCACTAGATAACGTTTGCAACTCTCCTATCAGTCTTATACTTATCTTTCCTGGCTCTAAGTAAATACCGGCTCTAAATAAA